GGATGACGACACGACGACAACTCCCCCTGTCACTGACGGGGCACGTGCCCCCCCTGAGTAAGGTGGCACCAGTCGGCCCTGGGTAGATTTGTAACCATCAAGGATTATCCCTGACAGTGTATGAGCCTTGAAAATGGATAAAGAGAAGACCCAGACCAACAATAATTGGCTCCCACTCCACTTTTCTTCTCCAGTGAAAAAGGAAATTTTCATTTAAATCTAGTCTACACAATGACCACAACTAGGGGTGCAACAACAGAGATTTTGGGGCTGAAAACGATAGCCGATTTTTAAGGAATAAAACGGCCGATATTGATCTGATTTCCAATACAGCTACGTGCATCTGATAAGTCCATTGTGCTGGAAGGGAAGGGCGAGGGAAGGGGTGTGTGTGTGGTAGGGTAGATCAAAGTCCCCGTGGAGAGGGAGGGAGTAGGGCTGGGGCTGCGTCAGGGCTTGGGGCAGGCGCTTTTTAGCCAGGACGGGGCGGCAGCAGAACAGAGCCATGGATCATCTAGGGGTCTGGGGGGACTCCCCTTGCTGCATGCACCCTGGGAGGGCATAGGGGTGTGTGTGTCCTTGGATCTGCATGGGATACGGACTGCAGCTGCAGGCTGGGGCTGCGCTGGTCTCTGCGTGGCGGCAGGGGGGTGGGGTGGTGGTGGGTGGTAAGGGAGCTGGGCCGGGCTCCGCTCGGGGCAGGCAGCAGTGGCACTGGGAAGGGGCTATGAGGGGGCTGTAGCCACCCCAAAATTTGCCATAGCCAGCCCAACCCTGTCCCCCCGCCCCACATGCCAGGAACAGCCTGGCACCACCCCAGCCCTGGCCCACAGCAGCAGTCCCTCCACCCCGTGCAGATGCAGGGGCACATCTTCCACCTCTGCCCTCCTGGGGTGTGTGCAGTGGCGGGAGCCGCCCTGCCCCATGCCCCTTGGATGAGCCGCAGCTCTGTCCCGTGCCTGCTCCACCCCGCCCCAGCTGGGCAGCCCCTGCTCCAGCCCTACTCCCTCCCTCACTGCAGGGGCCTTAATCTGCACCCCGCTCCCACCATGCCCCTTCTTTCTACCACAACAGACTTACCAGCTGCACACAGCTCTCCAAGCTGCCAGCTGTGCTTCTCACTGCCTACGTGCTGTACTGTGGCTGCACGCATGCATGGGCCATTTATTGGCCAAATTATTGGCCACGTCAGGCCAATTTCTGATACAGTTAATTTTCTTTATATCGATGCGGATCCCATATTGTACTGATTTATCAGTACACCTCTAATCGCAACAGTGTTTCACAGATTGCCTCTTACATCTAATTATTTTTTCGTGTTTCAGACACCACCAGCAAGTGAGAAGGCTTGATAAAAATCCAGAATGTTCCATTAAAAACGCCCCCCCAAACCAAACAAAAAAAAATAAAATAAAGCAAAACAATACAATCAACAAAGAAAAGAAAAAGTCATCACCAGAGGCTACTCTGGAGTTTCCAGCCACAACACAGAGAAGGATTTATAATGTGCATACATACTGACCCACGTGCTACCTATATTTAGTGGAGATACTAGGATGGAGCAACTATGGCAGCTGCCATGGGTGCCAGCTTGGAGGGGGAGGAGCAGAAAAAACAGCTATGCAATTGTACCAATGGTGTAGTAGCAACCAGAAGTTGCTGCTACCCCTAGCTGCGCCAACACAGCTACGTTGTTATGCCTCTGCTTATACTCTCAAGAAGGATCCTTTTCCAGTCACACAAAATAGGCAGCACTGCTTCCAAAAAGCAATTTTTTATTTCCATTCATGTCACCTAAAGCTTATGTCTCTTTGGGTCAGAAAAGCAAGATCAGAACCTGAGCTAGCCTTGCTGGGACCAAAAAGGGTTGAAGATTATACATGAGAACCTATGAAGGGGGAATTTGGTGTGGAATGGAGATGATAGCAGAAAAAGAAAAGGAAGAGAGAAAAGCAGAGACTAGAGGGGAGGACCCCAGGAGAGGTGAAACCAGTAGAGCAGTGGTTCTCAAACTCTCATTTTTCGCGGACCACTTGAAAATTGCTGAGGGTCTCCGTGGACCACATAAACTTTTTTTTGTTCTACAAATCAAAGCACACAACTCATATTTTAATATCAGCAGTCTTACCTTACAAGTACAGATATTCCTGATTGTTCTGCAACCTTTCTGTGGACCACCTGAATGGAGCTCGTGGATCAGTGGTGGTCAGCGGGCCACAGTTTGAGAACCTCTGCAATAGAGGATTCCCCTTCAGGGAGAAAAACAGTGACTTTGTAGATGGCAAAAAGGAAGAGCTGGTTAGAGGGTGACAGGAAGAGAGGGTACTAGCTCAATTTTAATGTTTCTAGTTCCAAATGATGCCTACCTTCTATTTGCTTTGATCAAAGCAAACTCCAAGCTATGGAGGATTAACTGTGTTTTTATTTCCCTTTTTGTTAATTCCTTTTACCATCGCTGCAATGAACTTACGCTTCCATTCATCCAGTGGCAGGTCCATATTGTCAAATGTGTCATCGTATTTCTCTGCCTCATTTTCTTCTTCAAGATCATGAATTGGTTCAAAATAAGGGTGTATTAAAGCTTCTGCTGCTGTTATCCTCTTCTCTGCATCTAATACCAGCATCTTCTCCAAAAGGTTTACAGCTGTTCAACACAAGCCAAACACTACCTTCAAATAATGCTGCTGAATCTATCTTGGATTAACAAAGCTGTTGTGGTGCTTTTGGGTTTTTGTTTTTTTAAATTAAATGATTACAAAGACAAGCTATTTGGGCTTCAATTAGGAGATTTGTTATTTTAAGGACAAAATAAAGGTAAAGTAGTATTTTGCAGCTACCAAGTTATTAGATCACTGTAATACTGTATTTACTTGATTCTAAGACAAGCCCCCACAACATAAGAGAAAAAGTCCCTTGTCTTGGAATCGAGTATGAGGGCAGTGCAAGGGCAGGCAGCTGCTGTTTCTCAGGCCCCAGCCCCTCCCCCTAACCAGGGTTGAGGCCATAGCTGCAGCTGCTGTTTGTCTGTCCCCTCCCCTGCCACTTCTGTGCCCTGCCATCTCCCCTCACCCATTCAACCTCTCCTTCCCGCCCTTTACCCTTGGGCTCTGAATCAGCAAACTCTATGCACACTGCAGCCTGGGCACCGAGCACAGCCCCAGCTCGGCCCTATAGCAGTGGTGCAGAGCCTGCAGGGCTGCTATGGGGGCTGGTCTGGGGCCATGTTCCATGCCCCACACTAGAACAGGATGGAGGCTGCCAGTGCAGAGCAGAGGCTAGGGAGAGGGGCCAAAGCAGAGGCTGGGGAGAGGCCAGGCAGGTGGTAGAGGTAGCAGGGGCAGGCACAAGCAGGAGGCAAGGTGCCTCCCCACACCACCTGCCTCCCTACAGCCTGTCCCTCTGTAATGGTGGGAGGGATGAATTAAAGATGTCCCTCCAATAATTAGAATCTTTATATAGAAAATTATAACAAGTTAAAACTTTTTCTACGTATAGAATCTAATTACTAGGGGATTGTCATAAATTCAGGGTCATCTTAGATTCAAGTAAATATGGTATTCCATTAAAACATCTTAATTATGGGTAAGATCTCACGGTAATCTGTGTGTTTTACCAGATCTCAGCTTTTTACACCTTTCAAAACATGAGTGAAATCACCCATGTGGAACTGCAGCACTGACTGTCTGAGATGCGTATCCTGGATCTGATCCAAAAGCAAAATCAATGATTTTTTAAAAACATTTCCTTCAATTGGTTTTGGATCAAGTGCTGTACCAGTTTACTGAAATAGTACATTATTTTGAGCAGCTTATAACTGTCAACTCAAAAATAGGTTCTTTGGAATACTTGTACATTTCTCAGTAAGAACTATTTCCACAACAAGGTTCAGTCTTCACATTTCTGTTGATTAGCCTTTCTGTTGTGTAGGTGATCAGAAAAAGCTTTAAGAATGATATTTTAGCATAATAGAAAATTAACTTTTTTTATTTTTTTATTTTCCTGATCATCACAAAGGGTTTGATTCAGCAAAACATGCACACCTGGCATGGATTTGGGTCTCTAGCACAAACTACTTTTGCTCAATTTTCCTAAAAAAGGCAAAGACCAGCCTTGTTAGCTTAGTCTTAAGGTGAAAGTTATAAGCAACAGAGAGGAAAGGGTTGGAATAAAATAAGTAGCATCATGTAGTCTTACTTCTAACAGTTGACATCCTTTCTTTTCTAATACAACAACAGTAGCTGTACACATTCACAAGCATTCTTACCCAAAGGATTCGTGTACTTCAGGATGGATGCAAAGTCTTTTTTCTGCACTTTTGGGAGGCTTTTGATATAGTTTTTTGCCTTAAAAGAAAATGAATTTCAGTTAGAACATTTCTTACCTCATAGGTATAAAAAGGAAGAAAAGTCTGAAAAGTGAAGGCAAAAGTTTTAAAGATACAGAAAGACTATCAGTTTTCTAAATACATTATTCTAAGCATATAATTAATGCACTCAGTGTATTCTTCATAAGAAGTAGTAATAAATTCAATTAGAGCTGCTTATATGCTACACGTAAGAAATATTAAAAAGTTTGGGCTATGTATTTTCAAGTGTCAACCTTTAGGCAGTACCAGGGGATTTTCAGAGATGTTAAATACTTCCCGCTCCCACTGACATCAGCAGAAATTCTAGGACAGGCTGCTTCAGCACAGGAAATCAAGGTTAGTAAACATAGGTGAAAGTGTTGATTATTATCCTACTGTATAATTTACATAATTTCAATGTTTAATAATGGAATTTAACTAAATAAACCAAGGCAATAATATTTAAAAACATCTTTAATACTTTTACAATGTGATTCAGGGAACAGTCTTCCTTTAAATATTTCTGTATCTGCAACTACAGCAATCTGACAGAGTAGAATACTTACATCTTGACTTTGTAGCTTCTGAACAAAGTCTTGAGTTGGTGTGCCTGTTATCTTCATTATTTCTGTAAGTTGATCCAGATCTGAATATGAACAGTAAGGAATCAAGAAACAAAAGCCCAATAAAAATTATGCAATTTCCTTGCATTTGGAAATCAGGGTGGAACCCACAATATAAAGATGAAACAAGGAATTTACAATTTGCTGAGATATTCTATGTTCTCTTGTATTATCTTATTTTATGGGCCATATTAAGTCTCTGCCTGTAATTTCTCAATAATGGAGTGATGCAGTTATATTTTAAATAAATGGAAGGATTCTCAACAGATCATAACATTTCTGAACAAAAATAAACCTTGAAAAGACCTTGAAAAGTGTGGACACAGAAACTGATGCGCACACCTGTACGTTGGTCTCTGTGTACACATGCCAGCTTATCAACAAAAATCAAAGGCCTGCTCCAACTTAAAACCCCATTGAGCAAACAGAGTACATTCATTTCTGTAATCAATGGCATTCAAAGGAATGAGGTGGCATCACTTCCAGACATGTCTGGCTTGTTAGGCTAAATGACCAGGCGACCACATACACCTGGGCTGCCTAGTGGTAGCCCTCTGCAATTTGTCCAGCACAAGAGCCAAATTCTTGGCTCTGAACTTGTAAGAAGACATTAACTTTGCCACCAAACCAAATCTCTCTATTGAAGTAGCCCAAATGACAAAGGCTAAAATATCAAGTAATTTGCCCAAGACCCCAAGACCCTTTAAGAGAGAGAAAATTTAGACTATTAATGAACTAACTAATGCTTTAAATCTATGTCTATTTTTTAAAACTAACTCACTGAGACACACAGACACCTACATGCCCTTCAAATTTTACTAGTGGGAACTTAACACAAAAGGATACGATCATTTCCTTTGAACAGTGGCCTCCCTGTTATCATCTCGGCCATTATGCAGCCCACTGACCAGATGTCAACTGAAATAAAAAAAATAAAAAATTATACACACACATAAATACATATACATACACACGCATACACACAAACGCACACATTTTTCTTTTATATATATTTTATATGCATTGTATTATATATGTAATAAAATGCATATAATATATATAATAAAATGTACATAAAATATAAAATAATTTTTATATTCATCAACAACACAAAATTGCTAAATGATATATTTAAATCCCCCCTACACATAACTAAAATTCAGTTTCATTTTATTACATTGTTTAAAAAATATATTCTTGTGGTGAATTCTTCATGCCAAAAGTATTTATTTATTAAAAGTAAGGGGGAATATACAGTTAACTGCTATTCACAATTACTGCATGAAAGAACATCTGTCTTTAGAGAGAGAGGGTTAATTCCTTGATTACAAACAGATGCAAGTAGGAGACAATTCTTTTATGCTTTCAGAAATATTCTACAGCTGTCTCCACATTACTTTAGTTATCTGTCCTTGCTTAATGGTGTAGTTTCTCCTTCCAGTTAGGATAATGACAGAAAGATTTCTGAGGCCATATCTGCACAGTAAATGTATCATGCCTAGCAAGGAAAAGCTGAGTTGTTTTGGGAGGGCTGCCCCTAACTCTGAAGCAGTTCAGCCAGGTCTATATGGCACTTTGAGTGGATTTATTAGTACCGTTAAGCAGGGATCCTGTTTTATATTTCCCACAGAAAAACAGAGAAAAACACAGATTTCCCATTTTTATCAGAGAAAACATGGATTTCTCCTTTTAGAAGAGAAACCCACGGATTTCCCCTTTTTGCAAAGAGTTCTGCAGCCTGGCTGAGTTCCAGCCTACAAGAGCTGTTTGCCCGGGAGCAAGCAGGCTGCAAACCCCCTCCCGGTTGGACTGCCAGGCCAGCTGCAAACCCTGGGTTGCAAATGCTGTGCTCCCTGACCTGCTGCCCTCCCCCAGACTCTCCAGAGTGCAGCATGTGCGACTCGCACAGCAGGCCACAATGGGGCCATGCATGAAAGCTGCCTGCTGCTGCAAGCTTCATGCTGCCCTGGCCACACTGTGCACGGGGGCAGCTCACACCCATCCTGCCCCCACCCTCCACACAGATCTGGGGGGCATGGGTCCCTCCTGTTCTCCAGGAGTGCTTGCTGCCACTGGGAGCTGGCCCCGCCCAAGCCTGCAGCAGGCAGCAGCAGGGGTGGGGGGAGCCAGCTCGTGCTCCTGCTGTAGCAGCCACTGCCTTCTGTTGGGGGCAGAGGGCTGCGCACCTGGGCCCCTGGCCCAATAGCTCTGGCAGCTGGGGGCCCCCTCCAGCAGGACTGGGGGGCAAGGGGCACAAGCAGGGCTGGAGGGCTGTGGGGGGAGTGAGGGACACCAGCAGGGCTGTGGGGTGCATTTAACTTCCCCCTCGGATTTTGGGATTTTTATTAGAGAATTTGCAATTTTTTATCACAGAATTGGTGATTTTTTTTTAATCACAGAAAACCAGGATCCCTGCTGTTGAGTGATTCACAGATACAGTTGCACTGTTTCCAGGTTAAAAGGTAGTCTAAGAGGCAGCCTGGGCAAAACAATTCAGAATACTTGATGGTAGTGATGTCAGACATAGTAAGTTTATTGTGCTCCCATGGCCCAAAGGTATGGACTGTACAATGGGAGAACTGGCTACCGCACGCGCACAACTTTGGATTGCCTTTCTTCCTGCCTACAATGCAGCTTAATTTTTTTGAGAAGTAAAGTAGAATCACCTGAAATTGTAAAATAAGGAATCTATTTTAATTGCATTATTGTTTGCATTTTCACATATTTTTAATACTAATTTGTCACTTAAGGAACAAAAGACATTGCTAAATACAAAAAAAGTAATCTTTATTCAATGGGTGCCTGGTGCTAAGGTCTTCTAAGAGATGTTGATTCTAGTACATGCACACATACACTACCTGTCTGAGTATAATGCATCCAATTAAGTATGACTTCTGGGGCTCTGTACCACCTGGTAACTACATAGCCTGTCATTTCACTGTCAGTATGCCTTGCCAGTCCAAAATCCAAAATCTGTAAGGGAAGCACAAAATAAAAGTACTACGCAAACAAATTACCTATCCATTTCATATGGAACTCCCAAATGTTCTTTTCTGCATTTTAAACCAAATTTTTTGGACACACATTCATTCTAACTCTCCTTTGAATAAGGAATGAGACTGACTTTATTTATTCAATTAAAAAACGAGATATTTCCCCCCATTTAATATGGGGGAAAAGCTTAGACTCAAGTATGAGGCATTGGGGCAGGCAGCTGCTGTGGCTCCAGCTTTGGCTCTGACCCCAACATAGGGTTAGGGCTGGAGCCATAGCTGCTGCCTGCCCCCACCACCTCTACACCCCACACTGCTCCTCCAAAGCAGCTTGCTGTCCTGTCTCCCCCAACGCTGTTTCTTTCCCACTCCTCCTCTTCCCCCAGCACAACCCCCTTTACCTTTTCCCAGGTGCCACATGAAGCATGGGCCTAGCCCAGCTCTGTGGTGCCAGCTCCTTGCAGCTGCAATCGGGCTAGGTTGGGGCTATGTTCCAGGCTGCAGTGAGGATGGAGCATGCTGGCACTGGAGCAAAGGTAAGAGGTAGATGAAGGGGCAGAGACTTTGGGATGGGGGAAGATAGGAGGAAGGGGGAACAGGTACTTGAGGCTGTGGGGGGCATAAGCGGCACAGGGGGAGGGAACAGGGAAGAGGGGCAGGCACAAAGGAGGGCTAAGTAAGGTGGAGGCAGGCCACAGAGGGTAAGTTGCCTGCCTGCCTCCTACCACCTGCCCCCCTACTGCCTGTCCCCCCACAGCTCTCTCTACCACTTGCCCCCTTACTGCCTCACGCACCACCCTTCAACTGTCTGCTTCATTACTGCCCCCCACTGCCTGTCTTACCTTGTCCCCCCTTCTTCCCCACTTGCCTGCCCCATTACTGAGCCCCTCATCACCTGTCCCACTACCATCTACAGGAGGATGAATTTTAGATGATCATCCAATAATTGGATACTATACATTGAGGATTATAACACGTGTAAATTTCCCATGTATAAAATCTAATCACTGGGGATCATCTTAAATTTAGGGTCATCTTATATTCAGGTAAATATAGCAGTTAGGTGTTTTAGCCCGAAAACAGGTAGAAGGTAGCGCAGAGGTGCATCTACTGTGCACGGAGTTAATCTATAAGGTGCACTTCTACCCTGTTTTCTGTTTAACCAAAGAATGACAATGACACCCTTCCAAGACTGCAAAGCAACAAGCTGTCTTAGGTACTTAGATAGTCTTCCTTAGGTACTACAGAATCTGATTCTCCCACAGTTTTAAATGTGTGTGTTCAAACATCACACCTGAGAGACAAGGAAGTACTATTACAGCTATTTAATAAGCAGGAAACAGGTGAACAGAGGAACTTGAGCAAGGTCACATATGAAGTTGGTGGCTGAGGAAGGGACTGGTCTCAGATCTCTGGTGGTTAAGGATACTCCTTAGCCAGCTTTCTTCTCCTCATCTTCATCCTCTGAAGGGCTTTTTGAGTAGCTCAAGCAGAGAAGAGAACACACCCAGAATTTATTAAATTAGACTTATTTAAAAACTAGTCTCAGATATTTATCTCTCCACCGACAGCTTTAAAATAAACATAGATTTCATAGACATCAGGGCTGGAAGGGACCTCGGAAGATCATCGAGTCCAGCCCCCCGCCCAAAGGGCAGGAAGTCAGCTGGGGTCATAGGATCCCAGCAAGATAAGCATCCAGTTTCATCTTGAAGGTGTTCAATGAAGGCACTTGAACCACCTCCGGTGGCAGGCTGTTCCAGACCTTGGGGGCTCGAACAGTAAAGAAATTCTTCCTTATGTCCAGCCTGAAACGATCTTGAAGTAGTTTGTGACCATTCGACCTCATCATCCCTTGGGGCGCTCTGGTGAACAAACGTTCCCCCAGATACTGGTGGTCACCCCTGATAAACTTGTAGGTGGCCATCAGATCACCCCTGAGCCTGCGCTTTTTCAGGCTAAAGAGCCCCAGGGCTCTCAGCCTGTCATCGTAGGGTCTGCTTCCCTGACCTCTGATCATGCGCGTGGCTCTTCTCTGGACTCTCTCAAGCTTCTCCACATCCTTTTTGAATTGTGGAGCCCAAAACTGGACACAGTACTCCAGCTGCGGCCTCACTAAGGCCGAGTACAGGGGGAGAATGACGTCCCGGGATTTGCTTGAGAGACGTCCCGGGATTTGCTTGAGACGTCCCGGGATTTGCTTGAGATCATCGAGTCTGACCCCCTGCATAGGCAGG